ATTCCCACTCAGGGCACATGCCTGGCTTGTGGAAGAGGAAACTGATCAGTATATTTCTCACACACTGACATGTCTTTCCTTCTCTTTCTCCCTCCCCTCTCTCTAAAAATAAATAAGATCTTAAAAAAAAAAAAAAGCCTTGAATGGCAAGTTTTTAGGGTTATCCTAAGACAGGAAAACAATGCTCTATAAAAAAACATAGTCTAACAATTTTTTAAAGAATTCTTAATATCATGATTTGGAGAAGGAAGCACTGGATATATAATTTTATATGAATAATCTAGAAGTAATTAAAAAAAAATCTAAATCTAAGAGGCTGTGAACAAAACTAGGTTTCTCTAACCAGAGAACAGAATTATAGTATTTGAGATTAAAATCTAGTAAATCACAAAAAAATCTTGAACATTAATGATTAGGAACCATTCATGAGATATTAGGTACTAATGTCGTTAAGTGCTACATTACTCAGATCTACTAGTGGGCTTTTACTTTTCCTGGATGGATTTTAACTAAATAGACTTTAGACATTTGGATATAGATAAATGCCAAATTCGGTAATTAGTATTTTAAAACTGTGAAACCTTTTAAGTTAAGTGGTCTATTAATTAACTACCAATTATCTTGTCTGACTACCATATCAATAGAAGTAAATTACAGACTAGCTATTTGACAGATTTAGTCCTTTGCAATGCAAAATTTTTTCAGAACATAAAAGGCCTGCAGCTAAATGCTTCTGCTTCCCCCTTTTGGTTAATCAGGGATCAATGTGCTGCTCACGTAGACGGGCCAAAGGACTTTACCTTTTAGAAAGGGCAAGATTCTACTTCTCTTAGACAAGAAACAAGCGAAGCCATGTCAATGTTCTGGGAAAAACATGGGTTTGCAGCTCCTATGTGGAGGCCAACTTTCCATTTTTCCAAGAAGACTAGGGAGGTATTTTCAAGCTTTTGCATCTCACCAAATACAGAAAGCCTAAGATGGTTTTTGTGGTTATGGCAAACAAAGTGCATTGATTGTGTACATTCTCCATTGTCTTGTCCTCACCATGAATGATGCACAACAGATTATGCTGATTAGGACCTACGCCAAATCTATTGCTTCTTAACTGGTAACCAAGAGAAGGTTCCTAGGAGAGTTGAGGATGGAAGACTACTGGAGGATGAAGAATCACAGCAGACTGGAGGGCTGTGCAGAATAATGTCAGGTACTGAAAAAACTGCCAATGTGCATGAAAATAGCAATAAGCAAGGAAACAGAGTGGGGGGTCTTCTCCTTGAGGCCCAGTCATGGGGAAATAGGAATAGTTGCCAGATATTCAACTTGAGCTTAATTCAAATTGGCATATACATACCAGCTCTCTCAAAGTTACTAGGCTCACATCACTGAGCAGATTTAACACACTATGGTATTACATAGTATATTAAAAAATGAGCATACAGGTGGGGCAAGGAGAATGGAAAAATTATTTAGGAAAACAAAAAGAGATACAAACAATAATGAATGTGAGCCAGCCCCACTTTGAAATCTCATCAATCTTACCCAGCTTAAATTAGTCTAGCATAACGTTTACCTTTTGAAATTTCAGAAGATAGACTCATGTGAGCATTCTCTGAATAGGTCATCTTCTAAATGTTTAAGAAGAAGCCTCGCCTTTATTTTGAAACTTCTACTGAGTGACTTATGAGTAGAGATCTGTGCCAGGTGGGGGAAAACAAACAGATGCACATAACAAACTGCCTTCAGATGGCTTGCCACCTACGGCAGGGTTTCAGAGCACAAGGTATGAAAAATTATATCAAAGAACACATACTATACACCAAAGCCTGGGAATGACAACAAAGGCTGCAGGAGATCCATGGTGGTAAGAGAAAAGGCTTCAACAAGTCATTCAACTGCAGCCTCATAGGAAAACAAGAGGTTGGACAAGACGATCTCTAAAGACCCTCACAGCTCTGATATGCAAAAATGCCAGAAAAGGGTTGGAGTGGTAAGGGAAGGTTATAGGAAGAACTTGAGCTAGGCCTTCGAAGGGAGACAGAATGGGGAAGAGGGCCTTTCAGGCAACAGTGTGAGGAATGGTTTGGAATTAGCAGCATCCACAGCGTTTTGGTGGATGTCCACATGACACCCACATGGTTTTTTATTTCACTGCACATGTCTTTAACTCTCTGTCAGGACTGCATACTATTGATTCTATGAAAACAGACAACTGCTACTTAAGAGTCTGGCTCAAGAAGATCTGTTCAAATTACCAAACAAGTCTTTGCTAAGCTGATCTGCTTTTTAAAACATTTGGGGCAGCATCTTTTCCCCACCTGGATACAGTAGAAAAACACAGTGGTTATTTTTCTGGAAGGGGAACAGCAGGTGCCAACACTGCACGTCTCTGAACTAACCATGAACATTTTCCTGAGAAGACTACTGGAATGAAGCTCAATTCAGGTGGCTCTTAGGCCATGTAAATCTCCCCCACCAAAAAAATCACTGTAAGCCCTGGCTGGTGTAGCTCAGTGGACTGAGCACAGGTCTGCGAACCAGAGGATCGCGGTTCAATTCCCAGTCAGGGCACATGCCTGGGTTGCAAGCCAGTTCCCTGCAGGCCAGTTCCCAGCAGAGGACGCACTAGAAGCAACCATACATTGATGTTTCTCTCCCCCTCTCCTTCCCCTCTAAAGATAAATAAATAAATAAATAAATAAATCACTGTAAAAATTATAACCATTCTTCTTGTACATTTTAGTTACTAGATCTCAACTTCTTAAAAGGTTTCTAAGTCTTGGCAAGAAGTTAAAAATTCCAACTTGAAAATGAATTTTCTGATTCAATATTGAAAATAAATTCTTAAGCTCAGATGCTTGGGAGAAAAACAGCTGGAGAATTCAGGAGCCTCCCATATTTTAATATGAAGTGACGTCATTACTGTCAAGGCTTCCAAGAACTCCCTAAATTGTGTAGTTAGGCAACATCTCAAAGCCAAAAGGCCTTTGGGAAGGTGATTTCTTTCTTCTTGCTGTATAGATTCAGCTCCTCAATAATTTTGCTATTGCAGATTTAATTTTTCTCCTTAGTTAGAAAGTAGCCTGATGTTTAAGGTACAAGTACATTAACTGATGTGCATTTTCCAAGCTAAAGCTATGGATTTTCTGTGTTTAACACATTCTAAATTAGCTCTTATTTCATAGAATGTTTAGAGGTCAGAAGCTGCTTTCCTCTTGTTAGTATTTAACTGAGAGTCAAATGGGAGTTCTTTAAAAATCTGATTCCATTTGAAATTTTTTACAATTCAACAAAATAATCATGCAGAGAAAATAGGCAAGAGGGTTAAACTTTAGCGTATTCTGTGTAGGTAAATGTTTCTGGGTTCAGAAACCAGGCAACATCCCAGTCACATGTTACCAGAAAAGACCAGTCCTGGTGTCTTTAATACGACTCATAACTAGACTACGGATGGCTGAATATCTGTTTAAGGATAAATAAGTTGAGTAAAATCAACTCAGGTTTCTATAGCAGCTTCATCCTTATCATCTTCAAATATGAAAACTCCAGTCCACCTGCAAATTAGGTACATCTTTTATTTCAAATGGTGATTGTTTTACTAAGAATAATAAACACACAAGATTCTTGATAAGCTGTACTGCCCAGTTTGTTCAGTTGCACTGGCCTTTCCTTGTCTCACCCCACCCCCTTCTCCACCTGCCACCTGTTCTTGTGGACCCCGAGGCAGCAAGGACTTTTATTCAATCCCCACCCACGCTGCACCCAACACACACACACATATACCCCCTATGCACACACAAGCACACTTAAATTCCCCCAAACTGTATCTGGTCATTTCTTTCCTCCTGTAAAACGTAAGTAGTTCACATCATTTATATGTTCATTTTTAGAGGTGTGGAAATGAATTAAATAAACTTCATGTTTGAAAATAAAACATACAAACTTCTTCCAGAATCAAAAAAATGGTTTGATGTTCAAGGAGCAACATTTGAATTGTAGTTCTAAAACCACATTAAGTTTTTAAGCAGTCGCTAAAAAACTAATGAGGTTTATTGTGACCTATTTAGGAGAAACAGTTCTTTGTTGTGTTTGATTAGAAGGCTAATCCGCCTATGGAAAAACAAAACAAAACATACCACCCTCTTTCCTTACCCTTTCTTTATCAGATCCTATCTGTCTACAAAAGTAAAGGGGAAATATTATGGAGGAAGAAAAGCATAAAGTGGATTGACAATGTACAGTTACAAGGAAGGGTTTCACACCTACCACTATTGAATCATTTCAGTTGAAAGACTGAGGTTAGTTTTGCCTGCCTTCTCATCCTTAGTTGCTATAGTCGCTCTCAGGTTCTAACCATCATCTAGAAGCTGATATGATTTAAGCTCCTGGTCCACCAGACCTCACAATCCTCCTGCTCCTATATAGTGACTCTGTGGTCCTATCAGGGTGATTTCTGTTCTAAGAGAGGCATCTTCTAAGCTGAGATGTACTCCAACAGAACAAGGTCACAGACCCTGAGATGGTCAATGGATGTTAAGTGCCTTGCCAGGGTGGCCTGACCGCTCCCAGTGGACCACAAATGCTGATCTCAGACTCTTTGGCACTTCCCAAAATGTGGCTGAGCAGTAATTTGGAAGCCTAAACTCTGATTTTAGGAATTCATAGGAACAAATGATGTTTTACAAACTCAACAGAAAGTAAAATAAACAAACCCAGGATTTTATGCTTCCCCTTGTTATTTTTATGGCAGTCTTTCAAACTAGTTCAAAATGTTCAGTCCTCTACCCTCACAAGAAACACTGAATTGGGTGGGTGGGGGGGAGCAAACAGCGATTTAATAGTAACTGGTGTACGATGTAATTCACCATGGGGAATAGTGAGTTAGAAGGAAGCTTTGTGAAGAAATGTGCAGATGGCTTTCAGGCTGGTACTGAAGTCTCTCTCCTTCCCAAGCTTCTCATTGAGGAGGGCCCAGAAATGAAAATAAGGATGTTTATATTTACCCAGAAGTGTGCGTGGCAATTGACCATCATGGTTCTCTCAATGAGCTCATCAGGACATTCCAGGAGGTGATGCCCAGAGACCACACCGGCATTATTGACCAGGACTGAGACCTCGCCAACCTCCTTGCGGACCCTTTCGGCTGTCAGGTAGACATTCTCCCTCTTTCCCACATCACAGGTGTAGGTAAAAACCTGCAGGTTACAGTGGGGCAGAATTTCTTCCTCACCATTCCCAGCTGTCCTCAGAAGTCCAGACGAGCAGCAGCGGGGGGGGGGGGGATGCAACAGGGGGTGGGGGGTTGTAAAACGTAAGTCACGTGGTAATCAGTAGGACAAAGATCACACAAAACAAAAATACTACAGTGAGCTTCAAATTTCTAACACTGCGAGGCTTGCCAATGACTGAACTTACAGCTGCCTTCCTCCCCTAGAAGTCTTGGGGAATTAGAGCAATTTGCTGGAGAACTTTGCTTAGGGGAAAATCATGTAACTGTGACAAGCCCAATACAAGTCAGACCTCATGGGATCAGCTTCCTGGAGCTAAAGACACCTGGAAAGAACTGATCTCAGCCCAGAGAGTTAACACCCCTCCTCCCAAACACACACACTACACTCTTCCTTTGAGGGGGTGGGGAGTGGCCAGAAGTGGCTTTTACTCTTTAGTAGGTGCACCCTCAAAAATAAAAACTCACCTCAAGGCTCACAAATTAAAACTGTAATTAATCATCTGAATTCATTAAAAGCCAAGAAATGAATCTAAAGTTTTTCATGAAAAGTGGAGGTCACTGATGTGTTCTAACCAGCACAGCACCCTCACACAAATCAAGCTCACAGGTAAATATGCCGTTTTAGCACACAAGAACTCAATTAAAAAACCAAAACCTCTTTCCTGGAAAACAAATACCACTATCTCTTAGAGGTTTTGGCAGAGAGCACAGAAATCTGTATTTACTCTGCCCTCCAAACCATTGTTGAAGATGTAACATTTTTGACCTTTGATTTTCTAACCTAAAAGGTCAGTGCCAATAATTTTGGCGACAATGATCATCACGGGGTAGGAGTGGTGCCCAAATTAATCTTCCCTGTATAGTTCAATGTTTTCCCTGGAAATAAAAAATTTTGTCAAAAAGCAAGGGTGATTATCAAATTTCCTGAACCAGTACTTATGGTTGCTTATTGTTCCCACTCTGATTTATTTTTAAAGTCTCAGATTCAGGCCAATTCATAAATATACAAAAATGCAGATTTCCTGAGGTTACCAAAAACACGGAATAAATTTACAAAAAGGCTTAAATCCTTCAAGCACTTTGTCTTAAGAGGCAGAGCATCTTTCAATCAGGCAAAGTATGTAACCAAAGCACTTATCTCTGGTGAAACATTGTAATTATTTTCTCATGGTTAAAGTTATAGTGAAATCAGTGCTGCCCCTAGTCTAAGAGGTTCAAACCACATTAACATATATACGTGCTTCCATCGACTCTAAGTACTACTTTCCAAATAAGTTTCCCATCGAAAGGCGATGGAGGCATTTCTTTAGGATTCAAACCTGTGAAAACAAGTTCCTTCTGCTTTCCCTGTCCTCAGAGGGCTCAGGAAACCCCACAGTCGTCCCCAAAGGAATAGGACCTCCCTTACAAAAAGGGTTTGGCACATTTTCCCCTTCTAAAATACAGATCATATTCCTTTATGGAGAAAAATCCACTCGCATAAGTCCGAGTCGATGTGGGGAGTGGTTATCTTTCTCGAGAGCCGGCTGACCATGACAGTGGGGTTTCGGGGCCCTCCCGGGTGGGCGCGGGGGCGGGGAGGGGCTTAACCCAACAATGCTGGGGCGCAGGTCCCAGTTACCTTGCAGCGCTGCGGCGTCCGCCGCCTCCAGGTCGCGGTAGATGTGGCGCACCATGCCCGCGGTCTCCTCATTGCTCTGAGTGTTGATGTCCCAGAGCACTAGCAGCGCCCGACGACGGGCAAACTCCAGGGCAAAGAGGCGGCCCAGGCCGCTGCCGGCGCCGGTGATCAGGCACACCTGGCCTGCCACACTCTTCTCCTTGGGCCGCACCAGCCAGCGCGCTGCGGCCAGCACGAACGCCCAGAGCACTTTGAAAGTGACCACGAAGAACTCCACCACGATGTTCATCGCGAAGCCCGAGGCAACGCACGAGCCCAGCGCCCACGTTTGCGCCCACCCCGCGCCGGACAGCCCGGCTCCCCACCCGGGAGAGTCTGTAAGAGCAACCGGTACTAGAAGCCTGCGTCCCGCGCCCGTCCCCGAGGTGCCCGCTGGGCTGGAGTCCGAGCTGGAGTGCGCGGGGTCACTCCCGCCCGGGCTCCGCGCGGCGGCCCCGGGCTGTGCCTTCTGCGGTAGCTGCCCGGGCTCCGCGCCTACTGCAGGCAGCAGCCTGCCCGTCCCGGAGCGCCCTCCCGGCCGGCGGGTCCCGACGCTGCGGCGGTGACAGCCGCGAGTTAGGCGGCGCGCGCTGCCCTCATGGCCAAGCCGCCGCTGCACAAGAGTTCCCGGAGCCGGCGCAGCGACTCCTTTTCACCCGGGGGAGGGGCGCGCGGCGGAGACTACACGGGCCGGCTGGCCGCCGCGGGAGTTGTCAACTTGACCCAAGTTGCGAGAGGGTGGGAGGGTGGGGTGCGGGGCAGCGGGAGCGCCGGGAAGGGGCAACTCGCTCGGCGCAGGCGAGCGCTGCCCAAACGCTGGCAGCTGCCCCCGCGGTGTCGTGTCCCCCTGCCGTGCACTCCCTGCTGCTGTCACTCGGTCACCCGGCTCCGCAGCGAAGCGCCACTTGCAAGTCAGAGCGCTCCCGGCCGCCTCTGAGCGGGCTCCACGCTCTGCGCTATATAACCCTCGACCGGGACGAGCCAGCAGCAGCATCTGCCCTCCCTCCGCTCGGCCCTCCCCGCCCCCGGGTGCACCCCGCCCCCGGCCCAGCCCCCAGCCCGCCAGCCGTCAGCCGAACCGCGGAGGGGCAGCCCCTCTCACATGGCCGTGGCCGCAGCTTCCAACCCTCGTCACACCTCCCTTCGCGGCTCACGCCCCCTGCCGTGGGGTGTCCCGGCCTCCGCCTGCCAGGCCCGGTAGTTGGCAGTGCCCCGGCCATCCTCCTGTGGCCGTCCGATCCTCGCTGTCCCAGTCTCACCACTTTCCTTAACCGTGGGACACTGGACGGTTCCACCTGCAATCAGGCGCTGCCGAAGACAGCCCCTCGCTCTTGAGGAACGAAAGGACCTCGGCAGCACGGCAACTTGGGGTGCCGGAGGCTGTAGCTGGGTTTGACAGAGCAGAAAAGGCAGTTAAAGCCGGGTCTCCGGAGCGTCTTGGGAATCGCAGATAGCCCTTTGCAATGTGGGCCAAAAGATTGTCATTTTCTTTGGCTGGAATCACGACCGCGGTGGCTGCCTACAGTCCCGGCCAAGCGTTGCCCTCCCACCGTGTGGGCAAGGGAACTGATACATGCTGGGATTTGTAGTTCACACCCCGGCAGCGTGTTATTTGCGTACATTAGTGATTGGAATTTGTGCTGTACTGGGTTAAACGCGGCCTGAGGAGTAGGACCCCGAGCAGACAAGGTGTCAGCGTTCTTTGCTCTTGTTGCTTAAAGAGTCTAACTAATACATGCTTTTTTTCCCCCTAAAATTTTATCCTGAACTTGATCCAAAGAGGCTGAATAGGGCATTCGTTAATTTTGCGTCTGCAAGTTTTCAGTTCCGACTTCTTTTCTGGCTTATCCTGGAATACCTATGAGTCGTGGGGCTTCACTCGCGGTCTTTAAGTGAACAGTGCGCATGCGCCAACTTCCTCTTTTCTTTTTTTTCCGGCTGGAACCATGGAGGGCGCCGAGTAAGTTGCTCTTTCATCCTTAGAGAATCCTCTTCCATCCCCGAGATCGGAGACTTTTTGGCTCACTGTCTCGTAGTCCAACTGTAGACTGTATCTTTGCCCACTTATCTGTGTGTTTATGACGTCTTGTGACATTCGTGGTGGCCAGAGGCAAACTTGGGATGCAGCAGGCCTTGGGGCGGAGGTTTGGGAATTATTGGAAACGAGGGGAGGTGTGAGAGCTGAATATGTGTGGAATCAGCTGGTTGCCCAGTCCACTATGACATGAGTTCGCACTTGGTTGGTACTTGGTCTAGGCGTTCCTGCCATTGGGCCTTTGGTCTCAGCATGTGGAGCTTGAGGCCTAAACCAGGATGGTACTGGGTTTTCTTTGTTGTTTTCTGGAGTTGAATTACTTTTTATTTTGGGGAAGTCTAAAAGTTAGAAGTTAGAAGTTTGTTAGAAGTTTGGGGATCAGTATCTCGAAGTAGTTTCTCATTGTCGTGGGGAGGGAGGCTGGGACTGGGCTGTCTTTGTGGCTGTCGGTTAAGTAATGTCGCTGTTATAAAGGTGGTTGTTAATATAGAAATTCCCTAAAATCTGCATCTCGTGCTGTAGCAGACTAGAACAATTAAAGGTACTAGTGTTAGAGCTAATGATAATACTACTGTTAAGTGACGTTCAGTATGGTGCAGTACTGTGAGCTTTGTGAAGTATTCATGTTGTTTATGAATACTAGGAAGAAGAAGAAGGTTCCTGCTGTGCCAGAAACCCTTAAGAAAAAGCGAAGGAATTTCGCAGAGCTGAAAATCAAGCGCCTGAGAAAGAAGTTTGCCCAAAAGATGGTAAGGAAACTTTTTTGAGGTATTTACCCTGTAAGAAAAGGCTCTGGGGTTGAAAAGGAGGAGGGTGTTAGTCTTAACAGGAGTTTTTTACTTCATCTGCTGTACCCAGTGAGCTTGGTTAGCTCCTCAAAGTAGCATCTCAGATGAAGGTGGCATCTGCTTTTCAGAATGTTAGTGCATATTGGCAAGAAAAAAGTTGCAAGGGAAGATTAGTTTTTTTCTGAGAAAATGGTATTGCGAATTGTGTTTGGGAGCTGAAAATCAGATGACTAACCGATCATTCATTTTCAGCTTCGAAAGGCAAGGAGGAAGCTTATCTATGAAAAAGCTAAGCACTATCACAAGGAATATAGGCAGATGTACAGAACTGAGATTCGAATGGCTAGAATGGCAAGAAAAGCTGGCAACTTCTATGTACCTGCAGAACCCAAATTGGCGTTTGTCATCAGGATCAGAGGGTAAGTTTGTTTTTTTACCACAGTCTGGTTTTGAAGGGAAAACTATACAATCCCAGCAAAATCAAACATTACTTTGGAGGCCTTGGTTCTGGAATAAAAATACTTTGGGGGTAGCTTGAACAAGGAGGCAATATTTTAATGGTTTAATTGGAAGACTTGTGCCCAAAGCTCCTATCCGTTCTCTAATTGAGCACTGGGCTTCAGTTCAGTGTCCTTGTGATGAAGTTCGAAAGTACTAAAATGTAGACTTGTGTTAACTAAGAAATGGTAAAAGGGTCAGAGGAAGTTTAAATGTCATAGGTTTGTGTCTAAAGACAATTTACTTTGAAAAGGAGGCAAACTGGGAGTGGTGATACAAAAATTTATGTAAATGAGGAAAAACACCAGTGGTCTTGGTAACACGAAAGGATTTCTGTCTACTTAGGTTGGACTTGTCCAAAATTTTAATACTTTCTTATTAATAAAAATTCTTATGCCAAATGAATTTTTGGTCTTTATTTCACTGCAGTATCAATGGTGTGAGCCCAAAGGTCCGAAAGGTGCTGCAGCTTCTTCGCCTTCGCCAGATCTTCAATGGTACCTTTGTTAAGCTCAACAAGGCTTCAATTAACATGCTGAGAATTGTGGAACCATATATTGCATGGGGGTAAGTCTGTCTTTTCCTTTGATTTCTGTTTGGTAAATTGGCTACGTTAGCAAGATGAATTTTAGGTGTTTTGACAATAACCATATTTTTTGGTCATTTATTTATGTTTGTTTTTCATATGTCAGGTACCCTAACCTGAAGTCAGTAAATGAATTGATCTACAAGCGTGGGTATGGGAAAATCAACAAAAAACGAATTGCCCTGACAGATAATGCATTGATTGCTCGATCTCTTGGTAGGTTCTATCTCTTTGAGGAAAAGTTTGATATTAGATAAATAAGTTTATGTTTTCTAGTGTCTTGGCGGCCCTGTGTTTTTCTCTTTTTACTATTGATTTTTTAACTGTTACATCCTATGTATAACTGTGCTTGTTGAATACTTTAAAGTTTAATAATATTTAAAAACTTAGTTCTAATCATCTTAAATAACTGTAAAATGTTCAGGTAAATATGGCATAATCTGCATGGAGGATCTGATTCATGAGATCTATACTGTTGGAAAACGCTTCAAAGAAGCAAACAACTTCCTGTGGCCCTTCAAATTATCTTCTCCAAGAGGTGGAATGAAGAAAAAGACCACCCATTTTGTAGAAGGTGGAGATGCTGGTAACAGGGAAGACCAGATCAACAGGCTTATTAGAAGGATGAACTAAGGTGAGCGACTTCTTGAGAAGTTTCCTTAGTACTATAGTAAAAGTGGTATAATCTCAAGTGTTTTCTCCATTAAATATTGAATAGGGTTTGGTTGAGTTCTAATCCATATATTTAGGTGGAGGGGTGGGGTGGGAATCAACCATCTCACATGATTACAGTTGGTTTGGTTATTCCTTTTGAGGATATATATGGAGGGAAGAAAAAGCCTGGTTTTCCCTACTTAAAAAGAAATGGGATTGGTACTTCTGTATAATTTTCTAGTTTATGTTAATTCTTAGCTGTTAAAGTGGTTTCTTTAATAATAGTTTTTGTTTTTGTTTTTTTTCTCCTTTCAGGTATCTACCATGGTCATTTTTGTAATCTGGTCAGTTAATAAACGGGAACTGCTTTAAAATTGACATATATTATGTTGTCTTGGTGACTTTTTTGTTAGCCTGTTTCTGATGTCCCTTAACTATCATGGCACCACTTGCTATGTGATAAAATTAAGCCAAATCAAAAACCATTGCATCCAAAACTTACGATCCAGTTTGTAGCTTATAAAAAACATTTCTTGGATTTGAGAAAGGGATTCCTAAATCCCTTTTGTACAGATCCCTTTCTATATGAAAGGGGTTTTATTTCTACAATTTTGAATTGTGCCATTGAGGTAGCCTTTTGCCTAGTTCACAGGCCTTTGTGCATTGTGACTTGTAGGTAAGGTAATAAAAGCAACTTATAAAAATAAGTTATTGCCGAAATTCCATTTTTCTTTTCAGGCTTTGGCTTGCCTATAGAGTACCATGTAAATGTGTTTTCATATTCTTGTTTTGTGTCTTTTGTCCATATTTTGGTAAGTTTTCTGTTACATATTGTATATATTACGAAGGAAGAAATTAGTGTCCACTGATCTGAGTTATTTTGGTGCGCCTAAATTGAAACTAGTGAGCAAAAATTTTAAATAATGAGTTCTGGTATTTTATGAATTATATTCTATGTTTTGCATGTCATCTTACCTGATTAGTGAACTGAAAGTTTATAACATAAAGTGTATGTACAATAGCTAACAATTTTTTGTAGTCTTCAGTGATTGTACCAAAGGTATGGTGCATATGAAACAGATGCCCTGTTAATTCTTTTGATACTTTTGTGCCAGAATCATTACTTTTTTATATTTGAAAGTCGCTGGACAAAATATATCTAAGAATTTCTTTAAATTCTTCGGCATGGAAGCTGTTTCTCTTGCACTGGTGACTTTAAAGTCAATAAATTCTGGAGAGAAATTGAGGTCTTTTATTTACTTTTAAAGAATACATTTCTTTATTTTAGAGGGGAAGATAGGGGGAAAGAGGGAGAAAAAACTTGATTTGTTGCCTCTTGCCTGTGCCCTACCAAGAATGGAACTGGTGACCTTTGACTCTGTGGGGTGATGGTCAACCCACCAAGCCATGCCAACCAAGGCAAGGTCCTTAAA